TACCTCTTATTGAAAAAACTCATGTAGTGGTTGTCATCTAAAAGTTTTGCTTGCTGGAAGTACACTGAGATTCTTTCTTCACAGCTGAAGTGTATATTTTCAGTCTGGGTCTATTATGCCTCCCTGTTTCTGGATCCCTTCTATTAATCCACAGTGCAAGTTAAAGTAGGGGAATAGAGAACTTCAAATTCCAGTTACTTTAAATCTTTAAAATTACTCTTAAGAAGGCAAAGTGAATACATCCTACTTCTCTTATACTTACATAGAAATTTCTGTGGAGAGTCATCTTTTTTTGAGCACATGTGTGTTAGAGTTTATATGTGTATACACATTCAGTATATATGTAAGAATAAAGTTACAAATTTTATTCTTTCAATCTATATATACTATATATATCTTGTTGGCATTATAAGAAATTTGCTTAGAATTTCCGCTTAGAAATTTGACTATTCTTATGTAATATTCTGTTATAGGATTTTGTGGTATCATGTATTGATTTAAAAACTTTAAAATTCGTAAATACGTATTTGTTTCTCAGATGCTGATATTTTGGCAGATGATCTTGGAGCAATGGAGCCTGAACCATATGAAGCTCCAGGTATAATTTTGTTTTTCCAAAATCAGTAATACTGCTTTTCTGCCTAAATGTAGCAAATTATATGAGAAAGCAAAATCTAAAAAGTTAGACTGGTTTAGTAATACATAATTTTGAAGGTGTTTTTTTCTCCAAACAACTGTGCTTGATTGTCTTGGATATTTTTACTCTGAGATGACACTATCATATTTGCTATTGCAAATGGTTCTTGAAAAGAATAGATGATTGGTACGGAAACTTTCATGGATGCAAAAATTTCATTTTTACTTTCTTATGTGTTTCTGGTTGTTGTGTATGATTGGAATCTGGATAGGCAAGCGATCTGTGGTTGTACGGTCTAAGAAAGTGAGAATGAGATTTATTACTTATATTCCTTCTTACAGTCTACAGTGCTAAGGTTCTTCTAACCTGTTATTCCTGGCATTAGTCAGAAACTTATGTTCTCACATGTCACCTTTCAGAAGCATCCAGTTTATAACTTTTCCTTCAGGACTGACTGTTTCTTTATGGCCAATTATACTATCAGAATGAGTCAGCACCAAGGACTTCATTCTGAACTATCCTTGCACTGTCGTTCTGTACACCCTAATTCATCTTTAAAGCTTTTTGAAATTTTGCCTGGACTAATCCAATTAGCTTATAGTCATCTTCATATTGTGTTTGATACCACACACAATGACATTAGTTCATCTTTCCCATTATGAAGAAATATTAGGTGGATATTACAGTTTCCCTACTATCTGTTAAGTGTTTTCTTCTGGATGCTGATAATGCTTCTTTGTAGTCCAGGCAGCCTCTTGCATTTACATTAGACATTGATTTCTGTTTGGACTAGGCTTCTTATCTTTGAATCAATGTTAGTTTTACACTTTACAGCCTTGTTTAATACCAAATATGACAGGAAAATAATTTTATTTGTTTGATACAGCTAAAAGTGCTTATTTCTGTCTTTGTGGGAGATTACTGCTTTCCAATTACCTATTTAGAATCCAAGCTGCAATGCTTCCAAAGTGAAAAGAGAGTTACTTTGCCTTTAGTACCATGTGTTGTCAGATGTGTCGTATTGAGTATATGAATAACATCATAAAGAATTGTAGTCACAGAGGAAAATAATCCAAATATTTAGCTATGAAGTAAAAAAAAAAAAAAAAAAAAGCAAATTGCTCTTAGTCTGTGATGCCAGAAGCGAATGTACATATTTCTCAAGGTTTGATTTCTGGCTCTTATTTTGTCTTCTGTAGATCATTACCAGTGGTCCTTCTGCACATTAGTAAATAAGCTACTTTAGAACTTTGAAGATGGGGAAGATTACATTTTTTTTATTCCTATTAGAAGAACTATTAAAAATATTCATGGAGAGTGATGGCTCATGTGGATCTAGTTTTCATACAGAGAGTGTAACAGAAGACTAGAAGAGAGGATGGCCCAACACCTTCTATTAGATTGCCATGTGTCAAGTTGCAAATGTCTGTTTCTAAGGTTTTAATTTGTCAGGTTTCAACTAAGGAGCTATGTTTAACTATTGACAGACACATTATGGCTGCTAGTTAAAATAATCAAGTATTAAAAGTATTTTATATTTTTAATTTAAAAGAATCTTTCTTTTTCATATTTAATTTACAGTTTCATATGAATATGATATGGATGTGGAAAAGACAGTAAGTGATCCAGAAGCTCCAGGTTTGTAAATTTTCATTACTTCAGATTATAATACAATCACTTACACTTATTTTTTAAACATGCTTCAAAGTAATGTGTCATATTGACTGTTCCGTCAGTTTTATTTTCAAAGAGTTTTTCGGGTAGTTTCAAATATGCTTGATTTTTGCAGCTGTGTTATCATTACAGCTGTGAACACAATACTCTCCGAAGCCAATCCACAAATACTTACATAAATATCTCATTCTGTCAGGAGTCTTCCAGTCTAATCAATGGATTGTCTAGGACCTATTTTTATTCCTGATTTTAAGCCTAAATACAAATATGCACAAACTTATTATATCGTGTGACTTATGGTGTAGCTGCTAGATGTGTTTTACAATCCAGCTGTCACTTCCAAATAAAACATTGTAGCATTATCTCAGTATTTTAGTTCTATTACTCTTGAGCTAAATATGTGACCTTTTTAACTTCTCTTATGCTATTCAGCTGTTGCATGAAAATTTGATTACAATATAAAATATTAACTATTTATGTTTAAGGTGACTCTGAGCTAATTCTAGAAGATGCTATTGAACATTACACAGGTACAGTCCAAAGTCTTATTTTTATTGAAGTTTCATTGAATTTTGGCCCCAAACCAGGCCAAAAAACTCCCAGAACATTGGAGCTTGTTGATAGCATCAGTTCCTAAGTACATTATTACATCTATATTTTTATTTACATTCTGAAAAAATACAAAAATCTACATGAATACTAATTTTTTTTTCTTGTCAGCCAAATGGGCAGAATAATATTTTGAGGGTTAAATTTGCAGAAGAATGGATATTTGTGTTTTAAATTGCATAGAAATGTTTCTGTGATTAAAAAGTAATTTGAATTTGCCAAAGATGTTGAAGTTAGTGTGGTAAGTGTCAGGCAAAAAGGAATATCTTTAAATTTTTTTTTTTTTTAAAAAGCAAGCCAGCCATAACAAACGGATTCCAAAATTCCACTGTAGAAGTTTTCTCTATATAGAAATGATTTATGAGTGTTTCCATTCTGAATTGTAGGTAATTTGTAGATGATTTAATGAATTTTATAAGAAAAGCCTACTGATAGTGCTTTATCTTTTTAAGTCCGTCTTGTGATGCCAAAAAATAATTCAGGTTTTTTTGCAGGATCTTTTAGAAATCTTCATCTTTGTTGAACTCTTATTAACTTTAATACACTATAAAATACTATAGTTTTGAATATCTTTTTTTGTCCTGAGTGGACTTGACACTGTATTACTTGTATATATTTATTGTCTTAAAATTCCATGAATTCTCATACTGATTTTTTTTTTTCTTTAAACAGAGGATAGAGTGCATGGGGATTATAATGAAGACCATGGTATGACAACTGTTATATTTAGTGAAATGGCAATATCGAAGTCTTTCATTAATATGAAAGTGACATTACTTTGCCTTAACATTTTTCATGCTGTCACATTGCTTTGCAAGTTCTCACTTAAGGGTTAGGTTTTTTTCCTGTTCAGATCCTGTGTGTATGTAAGTAATTGATTGGTCTTTAACACTGGAACAAGTGTAGAGTACGTGTATAAGTTATAATCCCATATTTGTCCTCTTTGTCATACTTCATGCTTATGTGGCATAAGAACATTGAAGACTTTGCATGCCCTTTTTCTTATGAAACCCTAGCTAAGTCAGCTGTGGTTCATTGCATCTGTATAGCTCAGTGTTACCTTTTCATCTTGTCTGTAACTACCCGTTCTTTGGAGATGACTCTCTGTTAGTTTGATTTGGTTAATGATTTGCTAATGATTCCTGAGACCAAATCAAAAAGTAAACAAGCTGACCAGTGATCACAGACTTGAAACAAAGGTATGTGGCTGTGAGATCCTTCTGGAGGCCTACCATACTTCAGAGAAGTTAAGCAGATCTTCAAAGTACTCTTGTTTATTTTTGATCTTCATGTAACCTGAGCAAAGGACAGCGTTTCTTAACTTCAAAATAATTGATACAGAAAACCTTGCGGTTCATTCTTTGTCATCAGGAGGGAAATTCTGACGTCCACCTTTGGGAACAGAAGTCAAAATCCCATTGAAGGACTTTCAGTGGCCTAAAGGTGTATTCAGCCCTTAGTCCATGTCTTTCTCAGTCTGCAGAAAATAATTACTTGCCTCAGCTATGATGCCCTTGGCAAAATATTTTTTCAGCATCAATAGGATGGAAAAGCAAGAAAGACCTTGCTTTTTCCCTGGGCTTATTGATTGCATTCCTTTCCAGGAGTTACTTATTTTACAATCGGTTCCTAATCAAGAGTGTCTTCTCTTGCTTCTCACACCTAGATATGAAGAAGTAGTACAACTTTTAATCTTTACTTTTCACGCTCCTTCATACGTAGTGGTGACGTGAATAGAGAACCCTTCCAGGATCCCTGCCCTTGGGAAATAAGATGATCATGGAGGTTCCCAAAGTAATTTGCATCAGTTTTCCATAGAATCAGTTCCAAACCCATTTCCTATTCTGCAGTCTCTTCTGGTCCTGGCACAGTAACAGTGAATCACTCTATTTTGTGAATAGTTCATGTGCTTTGGCAAACAGTGGTTTCATGTGCAATTGCTAATATGTGCTGCAGTGAGAGTTTTAAATAGTATCAGATAAATCTGATTTACATTTTTTCTACTCTTTCTCTACTATTCCAAATCCTCTGATTAGGCTGATTGGAAGTTCCATTCTTTTTTCCAAAAGGAAATTCCAACGTAGGAGGTGATTGTCAAAAAAATATTCTTGGCTACTAAATTGCCAAGCTTTTTTATGCAGCAAATTGTGCCTCCAGTTCAACATAATCCATGACAAACTGCTTTTCTCTTGATAAAAGTTCAGCTTTTCATGGCAGAATTTTGCCTTGCTTCCAAGTTTTCCCTTCTGATTATGAGAGCAAGAGCACGATGCTTCCTTTATACCTTTTAGAGGTATTTCATTTGAGAGCTCCAGCCTGGAGCAGTGTAGAAGACAAATCAGGTGAAACATTGAGTGTTCTTGGCATCTGCAAGATTTGACTGATTTTTTTGTTGTTGTTGTTTTTTGTTTTCATACCACCCACCCACCCCCCGTCTCGCCTTGAAAGTTAACATGAAGTTAGAAAGTTTCGACTTGGAACATTACAGGCACCGTTATTTCTAGGCACTCACTGCTGTTTCAGAAATAACCAGAGAAAATAATCAGAAATTGCTATCGGGATCCCTAGAAAAGATGAGAGATGCCACTGGGGAAGACAGTCTAATCACACTCAGTCCTATAAGCTCATCTTATGTTGTCAGTCCTTTAAGGTTTGAGCTAACCAGCCAACCACAGATATCTCTAAAGATGTGAGGCTGTCTTTCTGTGACACACCATTTTTTCTTTCAGAATTCAGTCTATCCCATGTCAGGGCATGGGAGTTGTACTTGTTCATGAATGTGTGCTAGACACCATTTTAGCAGTTTTAGTACCTAGTTTTTATCCCTGTTGTCTCCTGGCCCATTTTTCTTGTACCTTTTGACAGGCTTTTGGTTGGATCGAAAATGAAACAGATTTGCTCTTTTTCTGGAGAAGAGTGTTTTTAGTACCTGTTTTCTAAATTCAAAGAAGGGATGGAGGCTATCATGGAGATCTGAAATTCTTTCTCTCAGATGTAAAGCTTATGTTTTTGGTATTGGTTCCAAAACTGCAGTTCACACCCACAAGAAGCTTCGTTTTAAAGCTTTAGATGCAAATGTCTGAGAAATCAGTTTCTGTAAGAACATGCTGTAAGAACTATATATATATATATTTTTTTTTTAAAGGATGGAGGAGGAACCAAGTGACTGTTAGTGCCTTCTAAGATAAAACAGTAGTAGAAAGGTGTTTGGGGTTTTTTTTAAATCTTATGTAAATAACCTTTTCCAGATGAGGGTTAGTACTTTTTAAGGTAATGAAATGATCCAAAACACTAGATGAACACTGAACTTCTTTAGTTCTAAAATTCACAATAAATGTATATTGAAAATTTAGACAATTAATGGATAGCATTTTGTCTCTTTCTCAGACGTAATCTAAAGTAATGAATACTCTTAACCTATTTCTTCTTCTGACTTACAAAAATCAGACTGGCTCTTAACTCAAAGATTAGGAGTGTAGGTGAATTATAACGATTGTATGGAATGATAACTTTATTGTTGTTATCGTTTTCCATATTTCATCTGTGTAGATAGAAATGCTTGAAATTGCAGCATTATGTTCACACTTGGTACTTGTTTTATGTCTAGAATTTATACTACAAGCTCCAGTAAAGGTTCATGTATCTGTTCAGGCCCCCAAACTGGAGAAAGTCTTTGAGAGCTTTGCATTTATTAGTAAAGAAGTTAACTGGATGCTTAACAATTAGATTTTTAGGATACTTCCTGCATATCAAACACCCAGGGACTTTATTTTTCTTTCCTTTCAGAACCAAAACATGAAAAGCAGACTGAGACTGAAGATACAGGTATATACATACATACATTTATGTATATATGCATGTGTATGTATATGTGTGTGGGTGGGGTGCGTGTACACTCCCACACACATACCCCCATATATATATATTTGTATATATGGAGCATATTAACAAATCTTTCTTTTATAGGTAATTAAAATAGAAATACCTTTAAAATAAATGTTATTTGGAATATAAATGATTTTCAAAATTGGAAAAATATTTTAGTAAACTTAGCATAAAAATAATTAACAATCTTGCTATTTATATATACTGAAAAAAAATGTGTGATCTTCAGTCATGATCTATTGCCTTTTATGACAAAGGTTCATTACAGTCTGTGTAGTTACAAAGTTAGGTTTTTGACCATGAACTGAGCTTCTTTTAATATACCGTCCTTGAGGATTCATCTTTACGGTCTCAAGTGACACAAAGTGGGGCATGGAGGCTTTTTGTGGACATTTGGAACATGGTAGTTCAGCATAGACACTCAACCTGCTCCCTGCCGTGAGCCTTTCTCATAACCTTGTAACCAGTGCTTAAGATCATTCAAAATTTACAGGCTGTCAATACGAGCTCTGCTTTCATACGTACTTTTTGCTAGTGCCTTTGTCTAATTAGCAGAAGCGATTAAAAAATTATTTGTCTGCAGTCCTCTCTCTGGTTCCTGTATACTTTGTTGTCTTGAAATACCGGGTCTTTTGAGAGTCATCTGAGATGGATGATTGAAAAAGACACAATTGTTTAGCTTAGAATGAAGCCAAGAAATTCTCTGGTGTAAAAAAAAAATTGTAAGTATCTGTTTTGTCACCTTTGTGATCATAAGCCTAAGAGGACGGTTGAATGACTTAAAAGGTGCCATATTCAAAGAAAATAAAAATAATTTATTTTTCCATGGAATCCATAATTTAAGTTGAAGAACTTGCTCGTTGTTCTTCAGGAAAGAAAGTAGGACCCACCATGGAATTGCATGTTTATCCAAATAAAAAAACTTTTAAAGTAAAAGATTATAGGTTTTTTTGGTTTAGTTTTTAGTATGTCTAGCAGATGGAGTTGATGCTGCAAAAGATAAAAGTGGGAGTACTGATTATGCTTAGAAAGATTAAGGAGTGTTTTTAAAATTTCAGTTTTTAATGCAAACAACATTTGTTCAGAAGGTTCAATTTTGAAATATTTACCTAATGAATGCAGCAATTCTTTAGTGAAACATGGAAGAAAACTTAAGAAGTAATTTCTTTTTTTCTCTCAAAGTCATCCAAATTCCTGTTTGTTCGTAGCAGTTTACTGTTCCCAGTTAAACATGTCTGTGTGCTAGCTGTGTTCTTTTGTGTTGTACATAAGATTCATCGGTTGAGGGTTTGACTTCATTATTGCTCTGAATTGAATGTTTTCTTAGCTGTTGAGGACCTTCTGGAGAAGAATGAGGCTACAGAGCCAGGTATATATTCCGTAATCGTGATCTTAAAGTGTTTTGATGAAATAGATGCATTTTGAAATCTGATGTAAAAAAAAAAAAAAAAAAAAGAGTTCATTATGTGCTTTTTTCTTTTTTTTACTTTCTCCTATAGATGAAATTATTGAAGATCTTGATATTGATAAAGAGCCGTCAGGTATGAGTTTTTATAGTTTGTGAAAGAAAACATTTTTTTCTTCCATTTATATTTATTAATATAATTAAAAACCAAACATAAAATGAAGCAGAGAAATGTGCTATATAGAATCATAGAATGAGTTGGGCTGGAAAGGACCTTTAAAGATCATCTAGTCCAACCCCCCGGCCATTGGCAGGAACATCTTTCAATAGATCAGGTTGCTCAAAGCCCCATCCAACCTCACTTGGAAAACTTCCAATGATGGGGCATCCACCACTACTCTGGCCGACCTGTTCCAGTGTCTCACCACCCTCATCATAAAAAATGTGTCTTTATGTCCAATCTAAGTCTAAGCTCTTTCACTTTAAAACCATTGGCCCTTGTCCTGTCGCTACAGGCCTTTGTATAAGGTCTCTCTCGACCTTTCTTAGAAAACCTCTTTCTATACTAAAAGGCTGCAATAAGGTCTTCCCAGAGCCTTCTCTTCTCCAGGCTGAACAACCCCAACTCTCTCAGCCTGTCTTCATAGGGAATGTGTTCCATCCCTCTGGTCATTTTCACGGCCCTCCTCTGGACCTGCTCTAACAGGTCCATGTCTGTCTTGTACTTGGAACTCCAAAGCTGGACACAGCACTCCAGGTAGGGGTCTCACAAGAGAGAAGTAGAGGGGGAGAATCACCTCCCTTGACCTGCTGGCCACGCTTTTTGTGATGCAGCCCAGGATATGCTGGAACATGTCCAGAGGAGAGCAATCAAGCTGGTGAGGGGTCTGGAACACAAGTCATATGAGGAGCGGC